ACCTATCTTTCGCCGATCTTCGAATCTCTCTCTCACAAAAGAGGCGAGCTACACGCTTGTTTCCCGGAAATAGAGGAAAGGGGAACTTGTTCTCGTTTGTCGTTTTGCCATTTCTCGTCCTTAAACTTTCTCTTTTTTTCTCTCTCTCTCTCTCTCTCTATCGTGAACGATTTCATGCTCGTGGTTGAGAATCCCTTTCGAGAGAAGAAAGCTACCCGCTGGCGCGATTTACCGGGGTGGATGAAGGGCATCTGCTTTTTTTGCGCGCTCCCCCTACACCAGAAAATATTAGCGTATACACACGCTAGAGAGGAAAATTGTGCTCTCGAGTTTTGTAAAAATCTGTTTACCAACCAGGGAATCAGAGGGAAAGAAGTTGAGGCAACGCGTATATAAAGTTCTTCGTTGGATTAACTTCTGTTTTTGCGAGTCCTTTCTCTTTCTCTCTTTCTCTCTCTCTCTTCTTAAATTCCGTCCCTTTTTGCTTTTTGTCGCGTGTATACGAATATACAAAATTGCAGGAAAAAGTTTGGAGGAAGATAGATAGATCTTTCCTTATGACTGATGCTTCTCTCGACAGCTGTTTTCTCTCTGTCTCTCTTTCTGTAAAACTTCCTTCTTCTTCGTCCCTTCATCGAAATGGACACGGAAGAGACACGACAGCGTCGAGATCTCCCCGAGAAATTAATTAAGAAGCGCGAGCGTTTAGAGGGAGGCGATAAAGTTACTCGGCAAAGGGTATTACGAGCTCATAATTCGATTCACGTGCGAAAAAGCAGCACCTCCTTTACGAGGAGCAAGCGGAACAAGCTTGCGCCTGTGAATAGGCTTTGCAGCTTCGCGTAAAAAACGCGAAATATCCACCCCTATTCGCGCAAATACGCGCCTCTGGCAACCTTCTCTCCCCCTCCTGTCGCGCGATGCATCAATAAATCCAAGATCCCCTTTCCCCTCTGCTCTCCCCACGTGGCGATGTAATCGTTCCTTTCACACCCGCGTGGCCTAACATCTTTGCGAAAAAATGAACCCGATAAATCCTCCCCCCACGCCTTCTACTTCATAAAAAGAAGAGAGAGAGAGAGAGAGGAAGAAAAAAATGGGAATGTAGGGAAGAGCAGTATAAAGAGCGGGGTTTTGAAATTCAACGATGATGGTTAACGGTGGTGGATAAAATGCCTCGAGATTAAATAGGAGAGAAACCACGTGGGACCTCGAATCGTATCGTCGTCATACCTTATACGATGCCCTTCGACTCGATGATCGTGCGCGCTCCCCGTGTGCGAAAAACATGGTACACGGCCAGAAGACCGGTCGAGTTTCTTAATGAGGGAGACGTTTGCGAGGAGCGTGCGGCTGTGTGGCGCACCTTGGGGAGGGGGCCGATGTATGAGTGCACGCATACCTGCACCTACGTGGCCATGTGGTACGCAGCTGGGGTACCGTCTTCTATCGGAACCAGTCTTCTTCGCCACATTCCCCGGCCCGACTACCTGGGAACTCGGTTGTTTCGTCACGAGTTCCTCCTCGTGCTCGTCACTATCCGATCGGGAGGGATTTCGAGGCCGCGTGGCCAAACTTGATTTTCGACCGTGGAATTTCGGCCCGATGTGAGTGAACGACACACGCGCACGCGCACGTCGACGCAAAAGGAATAGGAATTCGTAGACGTTTCAGTGGTGAATTTTTATAGTTTTTTGGTTTTTTCTCTCTTTTTTTTTTTCTTTCTAGGTGTGCGTTCATCGAGACGTACGATGTCGACGTATCGGGGAATATTGGTTGACTTATCGGTTCTCAAGCGGCGATAGTTTAATTTCGTTAAAACATCGAGCGTCGGGTGAATTTTATTCGGTTTGGACGGTATCGATGCAGGGATGGGATGGAATTGTGACGTTTCATTAATTTAATTGAACGTTATACCCTCGCGCGTTGCGTGATCTTTTCATCCCCGAATTCATTCGTCTTTCCCCGGGTAGAGGATAGATAGAGAGAGAGAGAGAGAGGAGTGTTCTTTGCCGTGGATTTTTGTGAGATTGAGAACGCGAAGTAGGTAGGATTTATGAAGGGACGCGGAGGAAAAATAATATTGAGAATCGTGCAAAAAAAAAAAAAAAAAATACTCTCTTCGAAATCTTTCTTTCTCAGATTCTCTCAAAAATTATTATTCTCATTTTTCATTTACCCTTATTTTGATTCATCGTTCGCATATCGTAACGCATTTCTTCGATTGAATGTATTAATATTTGCAATACTCGAGATAAACGTGAAAACGTTTTTTTTTCTGCGCGATGCAAGGGCCCTTAAGAAACCGGGGCCACCAGTTGGTCCGCTCCTGTTTGTCGTCCCTCGATCACGATCCCGATCCACGCGGCCAGTCTTGCCGCGCCAGCGCGATCGAAAGGATCGATGTCGTGCATCGCGCGGCCGCGTCGCGATCGCTTCGAAATATCAAACCGCAAATCAATTTCGCGCGATATCACCACGGGTGCAGTGAAATAAACATCGTCTATCGTGGAGACCGTGCCCATATCGAGAGACGCAATATGAAAAATCTAAAAATAATACAGCGATATATTTTTCTCGGTGGCATCGATTGATTCCTCGAAACAACGTCTTCCATCCTTAATTACGAGCATTCAGTTATTTCGTCTTTCCCTTTTTTCTCGTTTCGTTCGTATTCCTTCTCCGCTCTCTCGCGCAAGATTTGTGTTTTG